ATATCCTACTTACCATACAATAGATCATTAATCAAGTAAAGTTTGATTTCACTGGAAGTTTTGCTCCTCAACCCCTTCCCAAAACTACGCCACTGAATCTGACATATTTGTGAAAAATAATGGAACGAAAAATTCCGTATACCCGGATATAGATGATTAAATTGCACTCTGCTCCTGCATTGCTGATGCAAAACATTTAACCAAGAAGAAAAATATTTTAAAAGATTCTTATCACAGAAATTTTTTTCCCTTTTTTCTGAACTTAAAATGGAAAATATTACCGTCAAGTAATAGGGTTAATTTTAGCTATTCTCTAAAAAAGAATTTTTGGCTCAAAAACAGCTCGGCATTTGAGTGAATTGTAAAAACTTTGGTTGTATTGTTGTCAAGATTTATGCAAAAGTACTTTCCTTTAGAGACAGTTTATAAGTATGAAAACAGTTTGCAAACTGACTGATGAGCCTAACTGGTAAAGCTATAGTTATAACTGCTAAAAGAATCGTATTATTTCTATATTTATGTTATAGAGAAACTGAGAATGCCTTGGTCACCTCTCACTAACTGGGTACGAAAGCTTTTAAATACCTAAATAAAATATTTTCTGCTACGAACAATTTGACCATGTTATTGTGTACAAATGTGTATTTGTGCTTAGCACACCCTCTATACATTATACTGTGACGCAATTAATACTTGAGTAGTAATTGTATCTGAACATTGTTTAGAAATTTAAGACGTAAGAGTTGAAATTTACCTAAAATAATTTAAATAAAAATTCCTCGTGAGCTAAGTTCATGAACTCACAATCGCAAAGCTCGGATACGACATCTGGGCAGAAGACAGGTTCCATGACTTGACCTTTCCCTCTCCTTCTTTTCTCAGTTGTGTAGGAATGTACTACGATATTTTCCCCTTTCTTAATATTTTTCGTATTTAATTGTCACAAATATTTCTTTAAAAATTTCCACAACACTTTCTTTTGCAACTATGTTCAATGTAGATTTCAGTTCCATATAGTTTCCTAACTTAAAAGTTTTTAACATATTTGAAAATCAAAATAGAAACTAACATACTTCCTTCTCCTATGACTTTTAGCGCGCTAAAGGTGAAAGCATGCGAAGTGTTGCCATAGGTAGAGAGTTCTGCTCTACGCCACCTGTTGCCCATTTTGGTCTCCAATAAAGTATCTTTATTCGAAGGAGAATCAAACTTTACTAATCAAGTTAACAAAAAGGGCCTAATTATTACTGAAAGAATGAATTTTATTCGCTGATTGAATAAGAAGTTAAACCTGGGGAATCCCCTACTTTGCTACCAGACATCTCTAAATACTTCGAGGAGGGTAATTTATTTAACAAAAACGAGTTAAAATATACAAAATATTATTGAAAATTTGAGTTTTGGGCGTAAATAAGTCGAAGAGCTTCTAAAGAAGAAGAAAAAACTTAATCAAATAAATGTCTCTTAATTGTTTTGAGAAAAAGTAGGGCTATTTATTTGTGTACTCGGTTCGTTAGCACTCTAAAAAGACTAATGAATGAATTGTTCGACTAATGACCTTAAACTACATTTTCAACGTTGATAAAAGGCTTTAGAAATAGATTTGTTTAAATTTAGTTGGTTTAAACATAAGGAAATTTACTGTTAGGCATTTAATTCACATTAGGATTTTTAGTTGTATATTCAATTTAGCTGATTTAGTTAACATTTAGTTGTTGATATTAGAACAGTTAGTTGATGAAAAGCATTAAAAATAAAACCATTTAGAAATTAATAAAAATTCCTACCTGATGGAACTTTTTTTCTGCCATTAATACTTGACTTGGTAAGCGTTGAAATCAATAAAAAAGTATTAATAATACAAAAGTACTAATATGATTGCACTCCACGAGTTGAATCTTGCCAGTGTAAGCTTATCAGTTAATATGATGAGAGAGAAAAAAATGAATTACGACAAATGAAAAATAAAGACCGCCAATCTACAACGAAAGTGGCTAAATAATCAGTTCAAAAACTTTCCTACCTGGCTTATCGTGACGTTAATAAAAAATAATAAAAAATCGTCACATAATAAAGTGATAACTGAGGTGATTACGCATATTCCGATAAAAATGAAAACACTGTGAGACTCAATCAAACCTCAATTTTAAAACGTTATAAGTTCCCATTCTGAAAACAACTTTCATAACAAATGACTCCATCCACTGACACATCAAATAAATGTTGCACTTCTTGTTAATTATAGATATAACTAGTCATTAGTCATTTTTGTTTCGTTTTAAAAATCATCAAAATAAACAATTATATACGTCAATTCGCTATAACTCGAAGTACAATAACTCGAATATTACTATAACTCGATTTTTTTATGAGGTCCCGACCCTTTTATCTTCAATTTCATGTTAATTATTCTCGATTACTCGAATTTTACTCCCTTTAACTCGATTTTATTTTTTAATCTTTTAAAGCAAGAAAAAAAACCTAGGAGCTGATATCTTGCCCCTTCCTTTGCAACACACACACAATGTCTTTCGCACTCTTCATGGAGAAGATAAAGCTGTCCCTCTTGAAGTATGTGAGCAGTGGTTAAGTGAAACGTTACCAAATTTACTTCAAGGATACAGTTAAAATGATGTTTTCAATATTGATGAAATGGGTTTATTTTTTTAATGTCTTCCAAATAAGACTATGATGTTTAATGATAAAAACTGCTCAGGGGGTAAAATGAGCAAGGAACGTTTGACTGTCCTAGTTGGAGGAAATGCGTCTGGGACAGAGAAATTGCCCTTAGTTGTTATCGGAAAAAAAGCGAAATCCCCGATGTTTCAAGAACGTATAAAACGTATCCTTTGGATTACAAGTCTAACAAAAAGTTTTGGATGATATCAGTTTTATTTGAAAACTATGTAAGAAAATTGGATCGGAAATTATTCACTAAAAAAAGAAAAGTGATACTCTTTATGGATAAATGCACAGCACATAGTGTTCAACCTAATTTGAAAGCAGTAAACTTGCAGTTTCTCCCGCCAAACACAACAGCAAAGTTGCAGCCGATCATAAAGTGCTTCAAACAGTCTTATCGTAAATGGCTTGTCAGAAAAATGAATAATACGCATTAATTAAATAATCCGACAATATTTTGAAAGTTCAAAGCCGAAACTAACGGTAAGTCGAACTTCCGATATGTCGAAGTTTTTCGTCAGTCCTATCTGATTCGAGTTATCGCGAATTCACTGTATATATATATATATATATATAATAAAGAAACACAAAAAAGGAAAAAGAGAAAAATAAAGAAAATCAATAAGTTCTATTTACTGCGCATAAGCTGCAAGTATATAGATCTCATAAAATAGGTTCAAAAAGTAGAGAAAACATTGAAACAATTACAGAATAATCAAATAAAGCGAAAAAGAAAATTCTTTAAGAAAAAATATTTTTTTTAAAAAATTTATAAAAATTTGGAAAAAAATATTATTTCTATTTTTCTCTCTCTTTTTTAATTATTTTGTANTTTTTTTTTTTTATGCGACACCATAAACTCGGTTATTTTTCCATATCGATTGGCATCACCATACTTATTCTTCTTGTTAAGTTGTCTTTAATAATTTAAGCAGTGCTAAAAAATTACTCATACCTTAAATATTTACTTAGCTAACTTGTGGTCTTAAGTAATTATTTAAGTAGTGTTAGTTATACGTTAAGTATTTATTTAAAAAAAAATTGTATTTTTATAGAAATAAAATACGATGTAATTATTTAGATTTATTTTTGATCCTCTCTAAAATGGCAGTAAAAATTTAATGCACAAACGGTGCTATGGTATCTCATACTGTCATACTAATTATTGGCCTTGCCTTTTTCAAGCAATGGGCTATATATATTGTACAATACTCAAGTTATGACTCTAGTGGTGCGCGAGGAAGTAGTACAGCATGTAATAGAGCATTGAGATAAGCTTTCTATCTTATCTCACGACTGAGATTGAAATAATTTTAATATACTTCTAATGCCTATTCCACTGAAATGACCGGAGCTCTTAATTACAGGGGCTTGATTTAATGGCTCCCGGACAGATTTTAAATTATTTTTAAAATCCCATTGACTTTAACGATCTGAATTTTTGAAAAATACATCTTCCACGTAGACAAAGCCATCGGCGACAGCTAGACAGTGAAAGAATTTCGCTAATGTATTATTTGAAACTAATTGTGTTACGAATGGAAAAGGGGTTGAAGAATTGGAATATTTAAATACTGAGCCACGATGGCTCAGGGGACGGAGCGTTCTCCTTCCAACGCGGTGAACCGGGTTTGAATCCCAGTCGATACGAATTCCGCTTCCGGCTTGCACCGACCACAGTGCTGACATAAAATATCCTCAGTGGTAGACGGATCATGGGTTAGAGTCCTCCTGCCGTCAGGCTAACCGTGGGAGGTTCTCGTGGTCTTCCTCTCCATGTAACGCAAATGCTGGTTAGTTCCATCAAAAAGTCTTCCACGGTGGCAAATTTCTCCCAATACTTGAGCCAGGAGTTCCCTTGTCTTCTGGATTGGGTTCAAATTTACAAGGTTACGGCGTTGAACATTGGTAGTCGTAAACTCAAAAATTGAATCGGCTGTTCAACGATGGTTATAAAATAAAATATTTAAATACACTTGTGCTGGCTGCCATTAAAATTTATAAACTGTATGAAATAATTTTGAAAGGTGACCAAGCTTGTGTAAAAAAAAAGCGGTTTGTATTTTTTTTTAATTCATTTGTAACAAATGAATGAATCATGGGCTTATTGTTTATGTTTTATTGGTAAAATGTTTGATAAGATTCGGTTTATGAGGTTGATAAGGCTCTCATTTTTTAAGACAGTTTAGAAAAATCAGTGGGGAGAAAAAAAGGATTCTCTATGCTTCATAACTTTTTTTTCACGCTTTAAAAGTTTAAATTCCTAAATCATACTGAGAAGAATTGTATTTTGCAGTAATTTTAATGTAGTTGATTTAATATAGCATTTAGTAACTTTTGCTGATTTCTAAATACAGTATTAAATTTGTCTACACATTTAAAGAAAACAACAACAAAAAAATTTGTTTTAGTGGTTAGGGCACTTAATTGTCATTGTGAATAATAGGGTTCAATCTCTAATGGTGGCTTAAAACTAAATCATAGTTTGTTTGTTTTTTCTTCTGCTAAAGCTTTTAAGAGTTGAATAATAATTTTTTTAGTCATATACTCTTCTGTCTGAAGATTCTAATTATTTTTAGAACAAGTCTGAAGATCTAATTCAGTTTTTTTTTCTAATTAGTTTTAGAACATTTAAATTATGCTTTCATTAGTGAACATGTTACTGTGAATGACCGAAATTAGTGGTTTTTTTCTTCCACCAGTGAATGTTGACAATCACATAGTCGTTTTGGTAAATGTCCGGAATACATACTAGGTCTAGTTAAATCCCACTGGCCGATATACATTTGCCCGGTATGCCCTGCATCAATTTTTTTTGAGGTTCAGTGCCACTTCCCGGAATACATTTAACCGCTACTCCGAACACTGATGTTTCTCCTAATCTTTCCTCAGATGACATTAAAATATCGAATGAATATAATAATATTGACGAATAAATTAATATCAAATCAGATATAACAAATATTTCCGACGTTCCCCAAAAAGACGATATCATTGCTGGCATTCACCGGTGAAAGTCGACATTCTCTTAATTTTGGTTAGTCGTGGTAACAAATACATATTGTTAAATCACTTTTTAGGATGGAATTCCATATTAAAATGTTGTATATTTTCAATAAACGCGAAGGTCGTCATTGGCGGAGTCTCTATGAAAGAAATGTAAGGAGCTTGTGTAGAATAACGTAAACTGTTTCGGGGTTGGCGAGAAACACCGGGCAGTGATCAAAGAATGTACAAATTATTCTTTACCAAATTTATAATCAAGTTATCACTTGTAATACTGACATTAAACGCGTCTTATAATATTTTTATCACTAAAAATATTGTTGTGTTTCACCATCACAGTATCATTTGTAAATTATTATTTACCCCTTGTTAATGTTATTTTAATACATAAAAGATTATTAACAGTGAATTGGTTTTCTTTTTTATTTATTTTCCTAATCAACTTATTATTATTTTTATGCATTTCTTTCGTTCTAATAAAACGTAAAGTTGCTCTTTCGTGCTCTTTTTACATAATTTAGTTTTAAAAGTGAAGTTAAAATACAAAAAGCCCTCATAATTTAATTTTTTTGATGTTATAAAATTCTACAAGGTAAATCCTCAGACAGTTTTTGATTATTTGTGACTCGCGTTTAAATAGGTGTCTTGAAAAATTATAAATATTGTTTTATAGAAGCATCGAAATTCATAACGTTTATGATACTAGCTACAGGTTAAATAAATAGCTGATTAAATACGTAATTTTGTAAAATGCGGGCTCTCTATGGATGGTTGATTGAATGTAAAGAAAAACAAGATTCCTAAAACCGGAAGAAATTTAGAAAACTTCCGGTGTATCCCTCCGCTTATGTTATGCTTACGAGGCGATGTGTGAACAGGCTTAATATTCTAGGAAGCTTTATTCTAGTGATTTGTGTTTAAATTTACGCGTAATTTTACCATTTATAAGAGTTTTCTGTAATTTATTCTGTATTCTAACAGATCGTGAGCCTAAAACCAATTTAACGAAATTAATATGACAACATAAATAAAGTGTAAGATTTGCCATGTTTTAAATGTTATCCGTAATTTGGCTATATTTGTGTAAAATAGCACAGTTGGTAATTTTCTGGGTAGCACCATAGCAAGCTTGCTGAGTCTTCCGAACTCATTTGATGTTTGTTTCATTGAAAATTAGATTGAAAGAACGCATTATATTGTAAACACTGAAAGTATAATAATGTTGGGTGTTGCGTTTTTTTCAGCTTCCGCGTAAAAATTCGTCGGAAGTAGTAAATCCAATGTCTTGCGATGAATTTTAAGCCCTAGCGCCATCTGCGCTTAGCTTTACACGGCCAACCATCCTTCGACCTCGAAAAATCTACTTTGAAAAAAAGGCTAAGTGAGGTAAGCTGAATTGTCGTTAATTATGCTACGTAACAAAAATAGAGAGTTGGAGACTTCTTAAAAACTTACTGCAGCTTATCAGTAAAGTCAGACCAGCTCATTCAAACTAGGACTAAAAATGTAAAGTATGATATGCATTCAGAAACCATTCTAAAATTATGTAATCATAATTATTCTTTCAAAAATCCTTTAAAACGCTTTTGAAAACTACATTTAAGTAACTAAACTTGTAATTTTCGATACATAATGGGATTGGTAGCTCCATCTTTGAGATCCATGATTAACTATGGCTCATCTGCTCTCAAACGCTTTCAAATTGAATTTTTAAAAAAAAGAGAAAGAATTTTACTAAATGATTATACTTGGGTCATAAAATAACTCTCTACAGATATTCTCCAAAGTACCTAGTCCCGCAGTTGACTGATCGTAAAGATACGGTTCCCAGTGGAACACCAAAGTCGAACATCACTGGCCATAATTAATAAGTGGTGGGTGACCACTCTTATGAGCCTGCGTAGGGACAGAGAATGTGCGGTATCGGTTCTCTTCAAACTGTTCTACCGTAAAGTGCTCGACTTCTTATGCATGTCTTCAGGAGTTCTAAACACTTAAAAGAAATTGATGCTCCTTGCTCGTAATTAAGAACATCAGTACAAATTAAAAAATATTTTTCTTTAATAAAATTAAAGTAAGTTAACAAAAATAAATATATTTATATAACTGACAAATTTAGATTAACTCTCTGAAGGGTTTTCAACGCTGCTATTATTCTGTGATTTTACAGCAAAATAAAAATAGAAAAAATGTCTTGACCCACAAGCTAATTTTTTTTAATTTTAATTCTATGAAATATAACCTAAGTTTTTTTTTCAAACTTTCCGGGTGTTCCGTAATGTTTTCTAATATGCATTTTAAATTTTTGCAAAAATATTTTATTGTGGGTTTCAAGTACTGTGAAAAAATTAATTCATGTAAAAAAATTATCAAACTTCAACGTTTATGACTCAATTTTTATGGTTATATATATATATGAAATAATT